AACTCCTAGCCTCAAGTAATTCTCCCACCTCGGCCTCCCAAAGTGCTGGGATTACAGGCATGAGCCATTGCACTCAGCCTTTGATTCAAATCTTAAAAAGATCGTAAGTTAAAAACTCTGCTCCACAGTAAGTAAAAAATTTTACATCATGACTCTGTATACATACACCTAGACACTAATATACAAATAACAAATGTTTCATATTAGAATACTTGTCCTTACTATATATAATATATTCTGATATTTTCTTTCTTTGCTACTTAATTTTTAAAAGATGCTGGTCACAACCAACTAAATAGATTTCATAACCTGCAGTGTAAAAAGTGCTTATTTAGATAACCAATCATGCTTAAGCTTTCTTTAGGGACAGCATACTTCCAATTACTAAAATTTGGGGCAAAGTATTACAAAGGATTAAAAGACTCAAAAATATGCATTTATCAATGATCATTATAACACAGTCATCATTGTAAGTTTGTGTCCTGTAGCATCTATAAAAGCTTCCCTTATTCACCACACTATTTCCTGGCTAGCTGTTCAGCACAAAGTGGCTTTTTAAAGGAATTATCATTGCCCTGACCATTCTCTTATCAGGCAAAGTTGTCAAAATGTTCTAGAAGCATCTGATAGCTCTTCAGAATAGGTTGGATGATGTGATCCTCCAACTTGAACATGGGGTTCCACTCTACCCTTGTCACAAAACCTAAGTGCCCACTGCCCCATAACTTATGATGAACATGCAACAGCCTAGTGGGCTTCCCATTTGCAACAATAAACTGCACACGTGGCCATGAGGTGCCAGCTCCCCACAGAGGGACTCCCCGTAGACTGGAGTGCTGAGCACGCCACTAAGACCTTCGGCATCAACACACTGCTTATGAGTTCATAAGACAGGACTGCAGTATAATGGGAAGTTTCGGACCATATTCTTTTTTCTTTTTTTTTAAGTAAATTAAACAACATTTTTATCCTGAAAGATCTCAAGCACTTCTGAAGGGGACATATAAACAGGGACCAGTAGAGAATCATAATTCATTAAACAAGAACCCATACATGATACTGTGAGAATGCCAAAGGGGGACAACAAAGTCACGTTGAGCATTTCGGATGGATTTTCTGAGGCGTCCTGTTTTTTTTTTTTTTTTTTTTTTTTTCTAATTGTATTTTAGATTCTGGGTACATGCACAGATCATGCAAGACTGTTGCACAGGTACATTCACGGCAAGGCCAGACCACATTCTTTTAAAGCCACTTTCCAGACTGGCTGTCAACATTCCGACAGTGTTGAGGATATATCACTTCTCCTTTTCTTTTTCTAGTCACTCAGCAAGAAAAAGTTAGGTAGCTTGCATTACTACGGAAATTGCCATGCCCGTATTTCCAAAAACAGTGCTCATACTTCAACATGGGCCTTGGTGATTTAACGGCTCATCCTGTTTCCAAAATCACCTGTTTTTTTAAGCGTTTCAATTACCTGAATTGAAATGCAAGTACACTCTCACCCACGTGCCCACTTCATTTGTAGCAGTCCCACTGCCCAGACACAGCCACAACCCTGTCAGAATTCAGGGTCTGGGTGCCCACTGCCAAGAGAAAAGCCAGGAGGCAGCACAGCCCCCACCCGGCCCGGGCAGCCCAGTCCCCATGGTCCCTGAAGAGGAGCTCTCGACCGCGTGAGAACCTGGGGTGCTCTGCACAGTGGCTTGGCTCCCTGTGTTTATTTGTTGTTATCCATTCCACAGTCCCCTTCCATGGGGTGGGGTGGGGTAAGGGTGTTCTAGGTAACGGAGCAGCTGAAAAACACAGGGCTACATGTTTGTTTTCAGATGAGAAGTCCTGCCTTTGCTACAATAGGACTTGAGGCAAGCCACTTAACTGTCCTAGACCTACTTTCCTTACCTGTCACCTAGATGATGACAGGTAGATGATGGCTTCAGAGACATCTTTCAAAAATAGAATAAACATAATTGTATAAGGATATAGCACTATTGAAACAAAGGTACCACCACTGTTAGCCAATCCACATGCAGCTATCAAGTACCTTCTTTGTATAAGGCAATATCCTTTTCCTAAGTGGTTCAGTTGGAATGGGGAAATAAGATAAAACTCACAAAATAATAATACAGGATAATTACAGGACAAGTTACACAATGCATGATTGGTTACTACATAAGTAGTATATATTTCCTATGACTACCCTATGACTGTGGGCTTCAGAAGCTACATGGGAAGGGCCTGCACTTGGGATAGGCAGATTGCGATGGGCAGGAAGGAAATGAAACAGAACATGTGCAAAGGCACAGAGGCGGGAGAAGCACGACCAGAAGCCCCACTTGGCTACGGAAAAGTTGGGAATGGTGCGCAGTCAGCCCTTTGCATCCGTGGCTCCTGCACCCACAGCTTCAACTGATCACAGATAGAGAATATTTAAAACAACAACAAAAAGAATGCAAATAAAAAACGAAGTTTGACAACCATTTACATAGCGTTCACATTGCAGGTATTGTAAGTAGTCTACAGATGGTTTCACGTGTGCAGGAAGATGTGTGTAGGTGAAATGCCGATTCTATGCCATTTTATGTCAGGCACTTAGGCATTCGTGTGGTATCCAAGGGAGGCCCTGAAACCAATCTGCCCTAGATACCAAGGGGTGACTGTAACAGGCAGCAGGGCCCACTAAAGCCAAGTGCCTTCCAGGTACACTGCCCCTGCTGAGAAGCCAGCTGTGCCCACACCTCCTTCTCATCCATCCCTGGCCCCACAGTCTCACCATCCTTGTTATTTATGGCTGATTGCCCCAGACTTGGGTAACAAAGGAAACCACAGATAGCCTGTCACCAGGTAGCTGCTGCCTACACAGGAAAGCCCTGTGCCACAGGACAGTGACTCACCGAGCCAATCGTATCTTCCCCGAGTAGGTGGCATAGGAAGGCGCACCAGCAACACAGACACAGACACACGGGGGGCAGCAAGTAGAAGCCTGGAGGTAGCTGCAGCCATGATCTAGAAGGAGCCTCCAGGGAGTAAGTGGGGCGAGAATTCTTTCCCTCACAGCAGACACAGCACAGCTGGGTCTTCAGAATGGTGGTGCCCGGGGAGAGCTCAGGACGCCGCCTGCTGAGGGGTCACTTGGGACTCTGGCTCCTGCCTGGCTCTCTGGGAGGCTTTGAGTGGTATCTTGTTTCCTGGTTTCTTTCTTCTGTGTACACTCTTCCTTTAAACTCCTTTGCTAACAACAGCAGAGGCTCTGGAGCCTAGATAATATCAGATCACCTGTGGAACTTTTAACACAGGTTCTCAGCCTCATCCCAGAGCTTCTGAATCAGAATTGCTAGGGGTGGGGCCAGGAAGGTGTTTTGGGTTTTTTGGATTTTAGCTCCACAGCTGATTTGAATGCTCTACCACCACTGAGAATGGATTGAAGGCAGCCTGAACGTGCACTTCTGCTCCCTGCAACCTGAGACAGCTGAAGGCTCACGGAGCAGACTCGGAACCTCGATGATTTAAAACACATGCTCACTTTTTTTCCTTATTGTGTTTTAAGACAAATATACAAAATTATATTTACCTGGAAAAAAACAAATTTCACATCAACCTAGCAAACCCAATTCTTTCAAATAATTCCTGAGTTCCAGTTCCTGTTTAATGGCATAGCGCTACAACACTTAAGAGTTTCCAAAGCACGTCAGCCACCTTCTGAGGACTTGCTATGTGGCAGGCACTGTGTTAGGTACATATCTGCTCATTTATCACCCAACAACCCTGCAGGGTGGACATCAATTTATCCTCATCTTGGAGATGATAAAATATAATTTTGGAGCAGCTGAGAATCTGTGTTTTTAAAAGTTCCACAAGTAAGTCTAATATGCAGCCAGGATTGGGAGCCTCTGCTCTGGTTAGTGAAGGAGTGCAAAGGAAAGGTGTCTATTAAGCTTTCTGAGATTGCAGAGAAGTTGAGCTCAAGATTTAAAAACTCAGCACCTATGGCTACCGAGTGACCCTGAGCCTTTGCACTTGGCTTCCCGGATCCAGGACAGTGGCCAAGCAGTAATGGGTACATCTCTCTTTGGGGAAAAAGGATTATTAAAAACACTCATTTGCTGACCCAAATCATTGTTTTTAGAATTAACCCAGGATGAAAAAAATTATCCTAAAATTATAAAATTTTTTAAATGTAAAAAATGATCCTGCTAGCCAAGGTGCTTCACACCAGTAATCCCAGAACTTTGGGTGGCTCAGGCGGGAGGACTGCCTGAGTCCAGTTTGACACTAGCCTGGGTAACATAGCAAGGCTTCGTCTCTACAAAAAAAAAAAAAAAAAAATTTTTTTAATTATCTGGGCATGGTGGTACGTGTCTGTAGTCCCAGCTAGAGAGGCTGAGGCAGGAGGATTGCTTGAGCCCCAGGAGTTCAGGGCTGCAGTGAGCAGTGATCGTGCCACTGCATTCCACCCTGGGTGACAGAGCAAGACCCTGTCTCAAGAAAAACACAATCTTCTTCCCTTGGATTTGTATTGGTGATTTCCTACCTTTCAAGGATATAAACCCCATTGTAATGCCAAATAGTCTCACAGGCTCTCACCCACAGGATAATTAATGTAGCTAACTAAAATGTACAGCTTCATTTAAAAGCATGACTTAATTGAGTCGCTTTTAGCCCTATTTTCTCAATTACAACAATGTCTATATCCTTGTGAACAACAAAGGATATGTACATTTATGCTGAAGTCTTATATTTATGCACTCTAGAGAAAATGCAAAAAAAAAAAAAAAGCCATAGAGAAAATCATGATTGTATCTAATGAGTTGAAAGTCCTTCTGTCCCCATTGTAAATAACATTCAGCCTCTTCAGATAGTTCCAAATTATAATAATCTTTAACATACTCTATTGCCTTAGAAATAGAGTCACCCAAACGCATACTACTATTTATCCAAACAGGCCACAGAAAAAAAATTATCTCACACTGATAAAACTCAGATTCATCATAGTCAAGTCTTACCTAAAAATGATGACAGCAGGAGTAAGAGTGTGTTGGTGTCTTCATTTCCAAAACATGACGAAGCATTAGTGATGTTTTCACTGAAGTTCCACAAAGTTTTACAAACCAAGCAGGCCAGCTGCCAGTCCATAGGACCAAAATCTCTTAAACAATCCACCAACCTGAGTTAATAAAATTCAAACTGATAAGTTATTAGGTCAGAATCTGTCTTTAATTTTAATACTGTTAGCATAATGATTATCCTTCTGTGATATGTAAAATGCATTATGTATAATCCAGAGATCACTTAAGATAATTTCTTATCTATAAATTTAAGTGGCTACAAAGTAGCAATAATTTACTTCTGCACTTTTTTTTTTTTGAGACAGAGTTTCACTCTGTTGCCCAGGCTGGAGTGCACTGGCACAATCTTGGCTCACTATAATCTCTGCCTCCCAGATTCAAGCGCTTCTCCTCCTCAGCCTCCTGAGTAGCTGGGATTACAAGCATGCACCACCACACCCATCTAATTTTTGTCTTTTTAGTACAGACAGGGTTTCACCATGTTGGCCAGGCTGCTCTTGAACTCCTGGCCTCAAGTGATCCACCCACCTCGGCCTCCCAAAGGGTTGGAATTACAGGCGTGAGCCACCGCTCCCGGCCTACTTCTGCACTATTTTAAGTGTCCAGTGGAATCTAACCCCCTCTTTAGCCTCAGCTTAGGGACTTCCCAATGTTGAAACACCTTTGCCCCACAGGAATGATGAGGGGGGCCCAAGCTCCCGAGAAAACGATGTCCTTCAAATCATGAGACAGTAGTACTCTACACCTTGAAACTTACTTTTTAATGCCACCTCCTTCTTTGAGGATGACACGCTTGTCTTTATCCACAGTGAGATTGAGGAGAACACCACAGGCAGAAAAGCAGATATCCTGATGCCGAGCATCCAGCAGTGCCATCATGAACTTGTGTACTACGAGGGAAGGGAGCAAATGCAGACCAGTAAAAGCCCAGGGTTCCCAGCGGTCTCTTGTTTTACAAATGGTACAGGGGAAAGGGTGAGTGATTTGCAAACCCAGAACCCCTGTTAAGGGACTTCACTCATTCTTCCTACGGCTTTATCCATCACCCAGCAGTGGGTTCCCCAATACCCACCACTCCCAGAGCCGGCTCCCCCAACCCCCAGACACTGCGAAACCTGCCCCAGGCAGCAGCTACATCTCCACAGCAGTGAAAGAGTCCCTGCTGGTGGAAAGGAGGGAACACAGGTGACAGTCATCTAACTTCCAGTTGTTCTCAAGGCTTTTCCTAAACCTCCAGCAGCAGCTCTCTTTAAATACACAGCTCTGGAGAAGGGCGCTGGCTCCTGGTGGGATCATTCCTGAAGTCTCCCAGAGCTACTCAGACTGCTGAAAACCAACCTGTGGCAAGGCAGGCCTTCCAGTGTAGGGACATCTCAGGGCAAGACAGGTTCCCGCTTCAGGGGAATCGGTTTCCCTTACTGCTAGGAAATGGAACTTGGAAATGTTTGTCCTGTTTCCTTATCCCTCAGCAGAGGCTGAGCAAAGGGCTAGGGAAGAGTGGGTAAAGTGTGTGCTCTGCCTCCTCCCAGCTCTGTGCACCTGAGAGGGGCTGCCCTGTTCTAGCCAGGCCCTATTGACTGGGTTGGGTAGTGAGTTTGGCAGAGGCAACATCACACACACATGTGCTCTTAAGAGGCTAAAGAGTGCATAGCCAAACGTGCAGTTATCTGCAGGTAGTGAGAGGATGGGGGATGTTTGCTGCTGCTGGTTTCTACATCTGTATTATTGAAATTTTCCATTATGAACATGGTGAGCTACGTTTTAAAATTATTCTTACATGAAATATTTGAGATATATCAAGAGTAAAGGTATACTAATATTTGAGACATATAAAAATATCTGAGACATACAAAGGGTATGAACATTTGGGTACCTGCCACAGTGTAAGAAATAAAACATTACATTCCAAACAGCATGTATAGTAAATATATACAATTCTGGCTGGGTGCCGTGGCTCACACCTATAATCCCAGCACTTTGGGAGGCTGACGCGAGTTGATCACCTGAGGTTGGGAATTTGAGACCAACCTGACCAACATGGAGAAACCCCGTCTCTATCAAAAATACAAAATTAGCCGGGTGTGGTGGCACATGCCTGTAATCCCTGCTGAGGCAGGAGAATCGCTTGAACCGGGGAGGTGGAGGTTGTGGTGAGTCGAGATCGTGCCATTGTACTCCAGCCTGGGCAACCAGAGTGAAATTCCATCTCGAAAAATTCTTATTTGTTGATAATAAGTAACATTATAGATCCAATTATAGTCTTTGGACATCCCTTTTCCTCCAAAGGTGAACTCTGTCCCTTTTAAAATTAAAAAAAAAAGTTTTTTTAGAGATAGGGTCTCGCTCTGTCTTCCAGGCTGGAGTGCAGTGGCATGATCATGGCTCACTGCAGCCTCAAACTTCTGGGCTCAAGTGATCCTCCTGCCTCAGCTGCCCAAGTAGCTGGGACTACAAGCATATGCCACCACATCTGGCTAATTTTAATTTTTGTAGAGACAGGGTCTATAGCCAGATTATCCAAGTTGATCTCAAACTCGTGCCCTCAAGCAATCCTTCCACCTTAGCCTCCCAAAGTACTGATATTATAGGCTGAGCCACTGCTCCCAGCCTGAACTCTGTCTTAATTGGAGTTTACTATTTCCAATTACTCTTTATACTGTATACCATCACTACATGAATACCAATGCAGAAGCAATACCCAAGATAGTTTTGTATGTTTTAAAACTTATGTCCATGGGATTCCTCTGTGTACATCCTCCTATTGCTTTTACATGCTAGAGAACATTTTATTGCATGAATATACCATAATGAATTTAATGAATTTGTCCTCTTGTCTGTTGAGGGACATTCAGGTTGTTTCTACCTTTTGCTATTATAAGCAAAATATAATAGACATTCTAGTACATAAAAGAGAATGTCTTCTTGAGTCTATGCCCCCAGACAGAAGTGATGGCTCAAGCTTCACTGTTTCTGTGAAACATACACACACCCCATCTTGGAACACAGAAGGCCAATCACAAGGGAGAGGGGACACTGCCTAGGTCCATCTTGGCAACCTGAGCCAGGAGCCTTAAGCACGTAGCTCTACAAATCTCAAAGCAGAAACAAGGATAACACTGTAATGACTCAAGTTCCAAAACCACTCGGTTGATTATGAATTCTAGTGTCATTAACTCACCATTGTTCTGCACAATGAAATCACAGACATCGCGGTCCTGGGAGAGATTTCCAAAAACGCGCACAGCCTCCAGGATTCCATCCATGTTGTTACTGACAAGAAGCTTTAAGAGCACTGGATTTGGTGACCAGATTAGGTAAATCGGTGAATTTAAGTTTTAACTTAAAGATTAATGGGAATCAACATCATACTAAATACTGATTATTTTTAAATGATAATAAAATGCAAATTGTAAGGGACTTTAGCAAGAACTAAGAAACTAATTGTTCCCATTTCTAGTTTCCCCACATTCTAATTTCTTAGAATTATCAGGCTCTAAGACATTTTTGTACCAGAAGGCAGAAGATAGTAATGTCTGCAGCTCTGTGTTTAGTTAAAAAAATCGAAACCTCAAATGAGCACTCATTTATCCAAATCCAACTTTGAACCTTACATTCTGCAATATAAAGCTTTTTGTCTTGAATTATGGAATTCTTCACTTGGTAGTAAGATAAATTGTTGATTGTCGCTGTAGCATTGATCACCAGCTCCTCACAATCATCAAGTGACTTGTATTCTGAAAGGAAAGGAGGATAAGGGAGTCAAAGACCCACTGCAGGAGTAGAACCAAGGACGCTGTAACTACAGCAACAGCAATGCCAGGAGCATGCCGCTGTCACAGCAAGGTCCCTGCAAAGGCCCTGGAGAGGCATCTTTACCACTTTGTTTCCCCCGACTCCTCCTGCATGGAAATGCCCCAAATGCAAGGCCCGCTCCTGGCCAGAGCGGAGAGGATACTGTCAGCTCAATCCTTGCAGCCAGGGGGTCTGGAAATGCCCCCTGATCTGGGCCCTGTGTCTGAAGTAAAGCAAAGGGGCTGACACAGCAGTGAGCAGAGCCACCTCTAATCCCGCCAGTTTTCTGGGTCCTTGGGCTCTCCCAGGGGCTCTTCGGTGGAGTCTGTGCCCTACTTCCCACACCGCCTCCCAAGAGAACAGCTCCGAGGTCATGATACATCTGCGACTGTCAACTCTGTCTTTCCAACACAGAAGACACCTCTGGCCTACTCTACCACCCGCCTAGTTCATCTCTTGGCGCCTCCTGGCTTCTCTTCTTCCACTTTTGCCTCCCTAAATCTATTCTCAACACAGTGATCCTTTAAAAGCAAGTCAGATAAGGCCACCCACCTCACAACCCATGAATAGCCCGCCTCGTCTGGCCCACAGGACCTACCTAGCAGCTCCAGGGCTCACCTCTCTGGCCTCATTTGCTCCTCCTACTCCCAGACCCCCGGGGCCAACCACACTGGCCTCTTGGCTTCTTGGAATATGCCAACATGTCCCTGCCCGAGAACACATGCACTGCTGACCTTCCTTCCGGAACATACTCTCCTCCCAGTTAGGCACTTGGCTCACTCCTTCCATCCTCCCAGCAGTTGCTTAGATGACGCCCTGTTGTACATACTTTCCTTAACCTCCCTATTTAAAATGGGACCTGTTCTCTTTTCTCTTGCCCTGCTTTTTCTCCATAGCACATATGACCACCTGATATTACATAGGTGTTTAATGTTTGTCTTTCAGCCCTAAAATGTCAGCTCCCTGAAGCATAGGGATATGTTTATTTTATTCCTGGCTGGATTCCCAGCTTCTAGAACAGTGCCCGGCACACAGTGAGTGCTGGATGCAAGAATGATCTCTAGCTTAGCACAAAAGGCCCTTCGTGGTTTTGTCCCTGCCTCCCACCCAGTCTCCGACTCATCTCTTGATGGTTCTGGCCACAGTGCAGAGGAGAGCTCCAAGTGACCTCAACATAGCATGGACGTGGCAACGGCGGAGACGCAGCAGAGTGGAGACTGTGCTTGGCAGAGGCTGGATGGGGGTATGAGGGAGAGGAATCACCCAGGGTACACCCTGGGTTTCTGGCTTACGTAATTGGGTAGATGTTGGCCACATTGCCTGAATTAAGGGTACAGGAAGAGGGTCAAGTTCAGGGACAGGTCATGAGTTCAGCTTTAGATATGCTGAGATGCTTCTGAAGCAGCCCCAGGAGAGGAGGGGCAGGCAGTTGGATGCAAGAATCAGGCAATTAGACCGACCTGAGCAACACGGCAAAACCGCATCTTTACAAAAAATTAAAAAAATTAGTGGGGCATGGTGGCACCCGCTTGTAATCCCAGCACTTTAGGAGGCCGAGGTGGCCAGATCACTTGAGATCAGGAGTGAAAACCAGCCTGACCAACATGATGAAACCTCATCTCTACTAAAAATACAACAATTAACCAAGTGTGGTGGCACACACCTGTAATTCCAGCTACTTGGGAGGCTGAGGCAGGAGAATCGCTTGAACCAGGGAGGCAGACGTTACAGTGAGCCAAGATCACACCACTGCACTCCAGCCTGGGTGGCAGAGGGAGACCCCATCTCAAAAATAAAAATGAAAATAATTTTTTAAAAAGTGCTGGGCAATCAGAGAAAGAATCATGAGTCCGGCAACAATGGGCCAGTGACCACAGCTTGAATGGGCCACTGCCTCCCCTCCCTCCTGTGCAGGTCCATCCAGCACCGGGAGAGCCCCCAGTCCTTCTCCACCTGATCTCCCCTGCTCTGGAGACCCCATCCCAGCCTGCAAGGGAGGCCACTCGTCACCTGCACACACCTTTGCTCATGACTTACCCACTTCCCACTGTTGAATAGGAAGTACCTTTTATTTCTTGTATGAAACCAAAGTTTTTTCTCAGGGGGGCTATGACCTGAGGAAGAGGACTGTGCTAGCTCTTAAACATTCTCCAACTTAACTATCACCCCTTTTGGCTTTCTTTTCCTGTTCATTAAAGAGAACCGCCTTTTTTTCTTTTTTTTTTTTCTTTTTTTGAGACGGAGTCTCGCTCTTGTTACCCAGGCTGGAGTGCAATGGCACGATCTCGGCTCACCGCAGCCTCCGTCTCCTGGGTTCAGGCAATTCTCCTGCCTCAGCCTCCTGAGTAGCTGGGATTACAGGCACGCGCCACCATGCCCAGCTAATGTTTTGTATTTTTACAAATGCAAAACATTATTTTGTATTTGTACGGGGTCAACGGGGTTTCACCATGTTGACCAGGATGGTCTTGATCTCTTGACCTCGTGATCCACCCACCTCGGCCTCCCAAGGTGCTGGGATTACAGGCGTGAGCCACCGCGCCCGGCCTGAGAACTGCCTTTTTATAAATTACGATGTTGAAAGGAAAGCTCAGTCATTGGTAGGCTGCAGAAGACGTACACTGGTCCTTCGGCCAGTGGTGGTCCCTCTCGCTAGAGCGGTCAGCATAGGCCCAGTATCTGCTAGACACTTATGGATACTTGGAAAAAGAAAGAATAAATGAAGACCTGACTTTCTGTTCTTTAGTTTAAGTACACAGAAAGGGAATAAGGAACTGAATTATTTTGGTTATCAATATGGATTCTACTATAAGGAAATATCCTAGTTGTGATGCAGAAGGGACACAGGATCCCCAAAATTATTCCCTCTTGCTTTGGCCATGACTCTGGAGCCAGACTCTATGCTTCTACTCACTGGCCATGTGAACTTGAACTCAAGTTATTTAACCTCCCTGGGCCTCAGTTTCCTTGACTGTGAAGTGAGCATGATCACTGCACCTACATTAAAGAGCTGTTACAATGTTTAAACATATTCAGGGGCTTATTGAGTGCATGGCACATAGTGGGTGCTAATTAAGTGCTTATTAAATGAATAGATGGGCCATCCAGAGTGACAGCTGATGGGGAGCAACTCAGGTGAATGTCTAACGCTTGGGCACAGGGTCTGCAGCCCTGGTTTCCTCCAGCCCCGGACTGATGACTCTAGGTCTTGGGCAGTGTTTGGGGATCTGTTTTATTCATCTGGCCTTGGTAGGGAATTCATGAGCTTGTCTAGAAAATGCAGGGTAGCTCTTATGTGTCTGACCTCCCAAAGGACCGTGAGTTTGGGTAGCAGGAATGGTGTCTGGTATCTGGGACTAGGGGTAGGGGCTCACAGCTGCTAAGCATTTATCATGAACAGCACCAGGCACTTTACATTCATGTAACCCTCAAAAGTCAACTACTAATAATGTTTTACATGCACTTACAAGAATTCACACCCACAATAATTAAATCTTGAAAGGTACATCTATCTCAGTCACCTTGGGCTGCTATAATATAATACCATAAACTGGGTATTATATTATTTTCTCAGCCAACAGAAATTTATTTTCTCAGAGTTATAGAGGCTGGAGGTCCAAGATCAGGGAGCCTGTATGGTCAGGCTCTGGTGTCTCTTCTTACAAGGGCGCTAACCCCAGCATAAGGGCCCCACCTCATGGCCTCATCTAAACCTAATGATCTCCCAAAGGCCGTATCTCCAAATACCATCACGTGGGGCTTAGAACTTCATAGGTGAATTTAGTGGTCAGACGAGAACAGTGAGGCTTTCAGAAGTTCAAGACCTTGCCTGACTTCACAGAGCACACATCTGAATACAGGTCTATTGGACCCTACTATCCTACACTTCCCACAGAACCCTGCTGTAGCCAAGGACACAGTGTTGCTGAGTTCCCATTGGAGCTAGCTGGGGCAATAGACTGCTTCTAAAAAAGCATGATGGAACCATACTATCCTCTATAATTGACTCATGGATATAAGAAAATCTGAACTTACCACTAAGGCATCATATCTCTTGAGTCTGGTGGCATACTGAGGAGGCTGGTTCTTACTAAAAACATTACTGATTTTTCTTTTTTGAGACAGAGTCTTGCTCTGTCGCCCAGGCTGGAGTGCAGTGGCGTGACCTCAGCTCACTGCAACCTCCACCTCCCGGTTTCAAGCAATTCTCCTGCCTCAGCCTCCCAAGTAGCTGGGATTACAAGTGCCTACCACCGTGCCCGGCTAATTTTTTGTATTTTTAGTACAGACAGAATTTCACCATGTTAGCCAGGATGGTCTCAATCTCCAGACCTTGTGATCTGCCCACCTCGGCCTCCCAAAGTGCCGGGATTACAGGCATTGGCCACTGTACTTGGCCAACATTATTGATTTTTAAAAGACCTTATGCAATGAGGCTGGCCTCTCTAGGCAAGTCCTCACAAGCAACTCCCTGTGAAGGGTACAGGGCTAGTGGGAGGCAGAAAGAAAAGAACCCAAGGGGTGCCCTTTCCACGTGACTGGGAAGGGGGCCATGTGACAAGAGCCATCGGCTGGGAGGAGTGCTCAGCTCCGAGGGTAAACAGGACAGCAGCAGCTCTGACTTCAGTGGGCACCACCAGGCCATGGGCATGACCATGGGCCCTTTCTATAGCCACAGTCACAGCCCAGCCCTGGCCCTGCGTTGCCCTAAGCGGCCAGGCCTGTCGGAGCAAGCAGGAGGCCTTTCCTGGAAGGTGATCACCACTTCACACTGATGCGGATAAAACAGGTAGGAAATCCCCAGATACCAGTGTAGAAAGGGCTTAGCAGGGCTTAGAAACTCACCCAGGAGTCAAACTGTATACGGGGAAGGTGGAGGAGGGTGATTCTCTGTTGGGGTGACTTTTGCCCTTCTATAAACTTTTTTTTTTTTTTTTTTTTGGAGATAAAATATTTCAGGAGAGAAT